ACTTTATCCAATGATAACAAAACACACATTTTTCTCAAGCTTGTATGGAACATTTACCAATATAGACCACATTCATGGCTGTAAAACATACCTTAACAAATACAAATAATAGAAACTATATATTCTCAGACAATGATGGAATTGAACTAAATATTAATCATAGAAAATTACCTGGAAACCCCCAAATACTAGTATATTAGACAATACACTTCTAGAGAACATGGAGGTCAAAGAAGAAACTCTCAAGAGAAATTAAAATATATTTTGAAATAAATAAAAATTAAAATATAACTTTATTCCTGGGAGAATCTATTATAATTTGGCACTAAATTTTATGTAATAGAAATGAAGGGACCAATGAATCTTTGGAAGCAAAATAGTGCAGCAAAAGGGTCTCTGTGTTGGGAGTCAGAGGATGAAGTCCTAATCTGGTCAGGGCGTGGGTGAGTCACACAGCCAAGGGTAGATCCTATTTTCACATCTGTATAATTAAAAGGTTCAGTAGCTCTTTGAGGTCTCACTTTCTGAGATTTTATTACTTTATTTAGGACCTTAGCCCGCCTGTAGGCTACTCTGTTCATGGAATTCTCCAGGCAAGAATACTGGAGTGGGTAGCCATTCCCTGCTCCAGGGGTTCTTCTCAACTCAGGGGCTGAACCCTGGTCTCTTACATTGCAGGCACATTTCTTACCAACCAAGCCACCAGAAAAGCCTCAAGAAAGGTGCAACACAAATTTTCAAGAATTTTAATTGACTCTGAAGGAAAAAAAAAAAGAATTTTATTAGATTTGTACAGTTGTAACAAATGGCTACAGACTTGGTAGCTTCAAACAATAAAAATTTATTCTCTCTTAAGATTAGAAATCTCAAATCAGTTCCTCCAGGCTATAGTCAAGATGATGGAATGGCTAGTCCTTGATGGAGGCTGTGGGGGACAATCCATTTTATTACTTTCTCCTGCTCTTCAAAGCTCCCTGCATTCCTTGTGCATTCCTCATGCATCACTCCAATGTCTTGCCTTCATCATTCTATCTCCTACATGTGTAGTCAAATCTCCCTCTGCTTCTCTCTCATATAAAGATGCTTGTGATTACAGAATAATCTAGGATAATCTCTCCATCTCAAGATCCTTAATTTAATCACTTCTGTAAATTCTCTTTTGCCTTTTAAGGTAACATTCATAGGTTCCCAGGATTAAGATTTAGATAACTTTGGGGGTTATTTTCCAGTCTACTATAAGAACCATCCCAAGAATTCAATAAATGAAGTCATATTGGAGTCAGTGGAGAGAGGATAGAGGTCTGTTGGCACGAACAGACTTTATTTAAAAGTCAGTAGAATTTAACCTGTCACAGTAGGATAAAATTAACATCTGATAAAATCTAGTGCTAACTATGAATAGAGGAATATGGGAAATAGACTTTCTCTTATATTATTTTTGGTAGTGTAAATAGTTACAGCCTTTTTTGGGAAGCATAATTTGGCAATGTCTATCTAAAATGTATAATAATGTTTGATCCACTCATTCCACTGTTTTAAATTTATCTACCCATATATCAGTAAAAAGTACAACTGCTTTTAAGTTCAAAGATGTTGACTGTAACTTCGTTTGTAGTAGCAAAACTTAGAGAATTCAATTTACCATTACTGGAGAGCTGGCTTAATAAATTTTAGTATGAATGTACAAAGGAGCACTCTGGCTATTAAATAATGCAATGAAAATAGGTATAAGATATATTATTACATAATGAAGTTAAGGTGCAGAAAATATAAATATACAGAAAAAGTATATTATGATATATTTTGTGTAAAAATATAGGTTATTTATAAATTAGAATGGGCATAACTTTATTTCTGGAAACATGTATAAGAAACTATCAATAGTAATTTCCCTTGAGAGGAGGGGCTCTAGGGAAGAAAGAATGTGTTTCCTTTCTGCCTTATATCTTTTCTGTTCAGTTTAAAATTTCTAGCTATGAATATATATATTATAGTTTTTTTAAGTGCAACCTCTGATACTAGTCTGCCACAATTTGAAGTGGTGCAAATAAGATAACTACCTCTCTGTGCCATGTTTCTACAACTTTAAAATAGGAATACTAAGAGTATTTCATTCACAGGCATGTTAAAAGGATTAAACAAGAAATGCATCTTTCTTACAAAGGATTAAAGAAATGTATCTAAAGCATCCAAAACAGTGTTTGCATATTTCAAGTTTCTAAAATATTATCTGTTATGTCATATTCCTTTTATTTACCCAAAGTGAAAAATGTTGTTTAGGCAGAACTATAAGACATTTTTGTGTCTTCTGAACACTTTCTGTATTTAAATGAAAGCCTAATAAATGCTATTAAATATATATACAGACATATATATAGAGAGAGAATAAGTTAGCATGAGTCTTGACAGTTAAGAGAATTTTGGAGGTTTTTGAACAGAATAAGCTCATAGCATGAAAGAACACAGATAAAACTTTCCTAGTCTTTGGTTTCTACAAAGCATTTTCAGGGATCACTTAATGTTTTAGATTTAGGAGGTGCCCTGCCAATGAAACACAGGTAAATTGGAAGACAGGATGGTATCAAATGGGCAGTTCAGATAGGAAGTAACTGGGTCCTGACTAGGTGGTGGAAGCAAAGGAGACAGAATTGGAGAGACTGGGACCTTAGTTAAAAGAAAAGGATGAGTCAAGAATTTCTAGTTATGTGATTGTGTTAGGAGGGTAGTATTAGCAATGCAGAAGAAGTTAAGTAACAGTTAGGAAGGTAGGGACTAGTGTTTGGGACTCAGCCATGGGATCATACTTAGTTTGGACAGAATATTGTTATTGAGAGGTTATATAATTAGAAATTCATAAAATACAAAGGCAAATAAATCAAATAAAATTTTAGAGCAAGAGATCTTTATTATAAAACAAAATGTCTTTTTATGTATCTCTTGGAGTTGATTACATTGATCTGATGTTTTGAAAATCTCAGGTGTGGATATTAGTGGAACTGCTCAGTTATATCCAGGCTTCCCAGGTGGCGTAGCAGTAAAGAATCTGCCAGCCAATGCTGGAGACAAGGGTTCAATCACTGGGTTGGGAAGGTCCCCTAGAGAAGGTAATGTCAACTTACTTCAGTACTCTTGCCTGGAGAATTCCATGGACAAAGATGCCTGGTGGGTTGCAGTCCACTGGACATGACTGAGCACGCACCCTCTGTTATAGACTCAGTAGTAACATATTACCTGTCATTTAATTGCTTTGCTTCTCCCTTTCCTCATACATAAAATGGGGTTAATAATGCTATCTAATTTTTAGGGTTGTTGTCTTTAAAAAGATAATATTTGTAAAATGCTTAGATGTGATCATGCCCAATATATTTTAATGAGGGTGAGAATGGATCCAGGTGGAGGTGTTTATTCCTGCTACCTTCTGTGTGTAGACTCTTGAGCCAATCAGACACATTGACTATATACTCTATTTCAGTTGTTGCTGTAAGTAGGGAAACAGGATTTTCAAGAGTCAAGAATCACTGTCTTCAGACAAAGGTGAGTAAAGTGCAGATCAACTGCTGACTTTTTTCCTTTCCTTAACAGATATAATAATGCCAAGTGGTTCTGTTACCTAACTTGAACCTCAGCCATCAGCTTCCTGGAAAGTAAGTGTTCACTGTTAGACCAAACTTTTCTCATTCAGGGTCTTTCTGTGGAGGCCTGATAGTTAAATATGAGCATGTTTATGCAGTTATCCAGATGTATGGGCATCTCAAAGTCAGGGACAGTCTTCTGATCCTTGTCACTGGAATTTGGCTGTTTGATCTCCACCCAAAGTTACAGGAAAAGGAACTGAGCAAAATCTGAAGAAGATTAAGACAAGAGAAGAGAGAGAATTTTTCCCTTTGAAAACTAACTGTATGTGATCCTTCCTCACCCTTATTGAAATTTGTTGCATGTACAATTCCAAAGAACAGATATTCAGACCCCAAAATCTGCGGAAGAACGAAAGAACATAAATTCTTATTTGTTGACAAGGAGATGACTAAATCCATTCCAGCTAGTTCTTTGCATATGAGAGAACTCAATAGAGCAGTCCTAACAAAGCACTTACATATGCATGTGTATTTGCACAGCTATACGAATGTGCAAATAAGTATATAAGTATAAAAGTAAGAGACTGTTCTAGTCCTTTCTATATCGTCTATCTTTCATTCTATTTTGTCTGAAATGACAGAAGTGGTAAGTTTTCTTGTACAGTTTCAGCATGGGCTTCCCGGGTGGCTCAGAGGTAAAGAATACACCTGCCAATGCAGGAGATATATGTTCAATCCCTGAGCCGAGAAGATCCCCTGAAGGAAAAAAATGGTAACCCTCTTCAGTATTCTTGCCTGAGGAATCTCATGGACAGAGGAGCCTGGTGGGCTACAGTCCATGAGGTCACAGAAGAGTCAGACATGACTTAGCAACCAAAAAACAGTATTTCCTGACTCCTAGGCAGGCAGGCAGACATTCATACTAACAGTTTTGATGGTATATGTCTCCATCAAAACCAATTATAAAGTATGAATATCTGAGTATCAATTGACCTACTATCATACTGCTAGAAATGACCCATTACCATACTACCAGTAGTGTGTAGGGATGCAAACAAGTCTTACGTTAGAAATCAAGAGATGGATATCTCAGGTCTGCCTCTTCTGTAAAAGAGGGTCAGCAATGAATCCCTTCTAAGTTTTTCTCAAAGTGTGTGATCTCTTCTCCCTTCACTATTCCATTTCATCCCAATCCAAAGCTTAATATTTTCTAATATTTTTTTAATTGAACTTGAAGATGTTTATTGCGTTGTATTTTTGGTGGAAAAAAAAGTCACATACGTTATTTAGCACAGCCTTGTGAAATACACAAAGCGTAACGGGATGAGCATTTTCTCCTCCTAGTCCGTTTCTGAGGACTAAATCTTGAACTGCTCCGCTGGAGGAAGCCTTCCTGCAGTGGGTGGGCACCAAGTCTAACGTTCATTAATTTTCTCCTTTCAGTATAGGCAGCAATTCCCCATTTTCTTTCAGTTCCTTAACAATGTCCAGTCCTCCGACAAGCTCCCCCTTCACATACAGCTGAGGGTACGTTGGCCAATTGGAATAAGCTTTTAATCCTTGCCGAACTTCTTCATCCTCCAATATATCAAATGTCTCATATTCAATCCCAGTACTATTTAGTATTTCCAAAATCTGCCTGCTGAAGCCACACTTAGCTTCCTGTTTGTTTCCTTTCATAAAGAGCATCACAGAAGCTTTATTTGTCAGTACTTTGAGCCTTTCCTCTAACTTGGGGGCTTTGGGGCAAATTGTATGTAGTTCTTTAGATGCTTCTAGCTCCTTAATTATATCAAGTCCTCCTATGAGCTCTCCTATTTATTTAGAATATCAGCACACATGTTTGAGACAGACAGATATGAGGCAAGCTTTCTTTTTTCAAGTGCTGAGAGGGTAGATAAAGATTACGGTAATGAGGAACTGTGCCAAAACATAGTTTAGGAAACTTTTTCTTAGTATTACCCAATCAATAGAGAGATTCTGAAAACATGTTTGAAACAGATGTCAGTGGTGAGTATAATGAAATAATACCAAAACGCAAAGAATTTCACGTCCAAATCAAACAGTGGTAAATGTACATTTACACAAACCCATATTTAAAAAGTCACATTTTCATTAACTCTTATTCTAAGTCAGGGTAGAACATCACCCCCACATTCCTCACCCACTTCTCACAGCCATACTACCAGAGAAATGCCAGGAAAACAGGAAGAATGAGGGAAAACAGCAGATTTAGGTGTCATAGTCTGGTTAATTGCCCACAATACCTTGGCTTTCTCCAGTTCTTCCTCGTTTTGGAAATGGGAGACCATAGTAAAAGGAAAACAGTTTGATTTGTTCCTAATCCTGAAAAGTAACTCCTTTTTTTCTCTCCCTTCCTTATTAATGCCATATGGAAAATTTATCAGTTTTTTTTTTTTCTTACAAGGAAAAGAACTAAGGATGTGGGTGATTATGAAAATATGCTCTACAAGTAGATCTTCTTTTTAAGTGAATGAAATTTTTAAATGTATTTATTTTGCTAAATTGAACAATCATTGATATTTAGTGAATGCCATTAATTGTTCAATGCTAATATGACAAGATTTTAAAGTTAATATTGATCTTTTAGAAAATGAAATATTAATAATCAACTCATATTCCTGGAGAGAAACCACAGTGAGCACAAGATTTGGGGACACACTGTATTCCAAAACTTTTTTTCCTAAGAAATTTTGTTAACATTTATGAAGCTTTGACTATGAGCCAGAGTTTAAATGTCTTATGGACACATCACTTAATCTTCCCAGTAGCTTTAGTGAGTAGATTCAATGATTCCTATTTGATCAACGAGCAAACTGATATACATATCACACAGGTACTAAGTGATGGAGTTGCAGTCTCAGCATCAGGAGTTCCCTGGGGACAAGATCACTAACTGGAAATAGAGAAAACCATATTTTAGGAATAAAAGAACACAGCAGTCTTTCTTGGCTTATGGAGAAAGAGCAGACTATCCCTCTTGCATTGAATGCCAATAAATCTCTGGTTAAAGAGTGTGCTTCTCATTCATTTTAATTCAGGTTTCTCAACCTCAATCTTGGGTCAGAAAATTCTTTGTTGTAGGGGCTGTTCTGTGCCCCATAGAATGTTTACAGCATTACTTAAGTGCCAGTAGCAGCCCCTCCACCCAAGTTGTGACATCCAAGAACATCTCCAGACATTTCCAAATGTCTCCTTGGAGGCAAAATCACCTCTTTTGAGAATCACTGCTTGAATCAATCAAAACATTCATTTTTCTTTAGTACCTCTGCTGCCAAGCTTCATTAGGTTGACACAGAAAATACTGAATTATGCAAGTCTATGAAATCATTTTTTTTTTTTCATGTGTGTGTTAGTTGCTCAGTCATGTCCGACTCTGCAACACTATGGACAGTAGCCCAACAGGCTCCTCTGTCCATTGGATTCCCCAGGTAAGAATACTGAAGTGTGTTGCTATTCCCTTTCCAGGGGATCCTTCCAACTCCAAGAATTGAACCTGGGTCTCTGGCAATCCAGGTAGATTCTTTACCATCTGATCTACCAGGGACATGTCTAAATTTTCAGAGTATTTCAATGAGGCTCTTACTATAAAATATATAAGAAAAATATTTTAAATCCCATTGTTAAGTAAGAACATTGAAACACAAATAGCTGAAAGGAAGCATCAAGTTTGGTACAAAGGACTCAAAACAAAGAACAAAATTTGAATTTTACACCTGCAAATGCATTAGAAGGCCCTCAGCAAATCTCCAATGTTTAGTCTCAGTTTTCCTCCTCTGTCAAATGAGAATAATAATCCTGCCTTTGTCTCTCACAAATCTCTTAGATGAACCAAGTCAGAAGATCACGTTAAGGTACAAAGTGTACTTATTACTGTTGGTTTGCCAATGGTCATCCAGAAAAGTAAGGGCTGAACCAAAGCTGAAATGTCACAACTAATATTCTCTTTCCTTAGCTGAAGTATGACAAATATGAGGGTCCTGCTCCTTTGACTCTGCAGATATTGCTAATTAATCACAGATCTCTTTCCCAGAGTGGTCCCAGAACTTCTCAGTAACACACTCCAGACAGCTATAAACTGCAGGTCAGATTTTGAACTTGAAAGCAAACCTATTGCTTCCTTTTATATGAGATAATGCTGCCACTAGGTTCTGAATCCTTCGAAGATCAGTTAATTAATGCCTTCTTGTTTACATAAAATGTTGATATATTTTATTCATCTATATTAACTTCTAACAGGGAAGTCAAAATCAATCGACAAATCCAAATTTTACCTCAGGCCTTCCAAATGTATGTGAGTGATAGTCGCTCAGTGATGTCCTAATTTTTGTGGCCCCATGAACTGTAGCCGGCCAGTCTCCTCTGTCCATAAATTCTCCAGACAAGAATACTGGAGTAGGTTGCCATTTCCTTCTCCAAACATATAGCCTGTGATAAATCAGAATCCTCAAGCCTCATTTAGGATGCAGGCATGGGCACAATAGTTCCAAAACTGTAGAGGGTAGCTGACACACTTGGGGAGCTTGTTGAAACAGATTGCTGGGCTCAACCTCAGGATCAGACTCAGTGGTCTTTGAGAGGGGGATTCAGAACTTACATTTTAACATGTTCTCAAATGATGCTGATATTGCCGGTCCAGGGACCATGTTTTGGAAACTACTACACTAGTAAAAAGACAACCGCTTTAGAGCAAGAAGACCTCGCTTGAGACATCCTTCTGGTTTATATAACTTCTGTCATCTGGGTGGAAAATTCTAGGCTTTCCTAGGCTTGAGGTTAGTGCTTTGTAAAGTGGCTCATGAAGCCCGAAATGCTTACCTCATAGAGTTGTTTTGAAGATTAAATTACATCAAGGACATGGAAGATTCTTACAAATGGCAAATGCTTAGATGAGGTAAAATGCTTGGGTCAGGTGCCTTTTGCTGTTATTTGGAGAAGGTGCCTTTTTAGCTTGGAAGTTCAACCAGCTATTTATGGACCCACTTCCTACTGGGCAGTTGACCAGCTTTCTCTCCGCTCCTATGGCCATAGGCCAACTGCCCCAAGGAGCTGCATGAAACATGTCGGGTCTCTCTGTAATGTTCCCACATATTTGTCAGACTTAGCCAGAGTCTAAGTGAAGGAAATGCTTTCAAAATGTTCTGGATGTTTAGCCCAAAGCATTGGTTCCCCCTTTACTGGTCTATAGGGACTAAAGGGAGTCTGTCAATCAGAGATGAACTAGGGTGGAACCAACAGCCATTGGCAGTTACTCCGTCAGAGATTTGCTTGTGACTCATGACAGCAACTTGCCAGGGGGAGGGGAAGGAAACTATCTGGAAAACACCCTTAATAAAACTGAAACTAACATTCTGGGGAAAGAGAGGAAAAAAGTGAAAATTAAGATGAAACAAAGTTAAGTTCCCCCAAAGATCCCCATCTGTCTCGTCGGTGATTTTTTTTCACTGAGAGTAGAAAGGAACCCAGATCTTTACTCTCTGATTCCTGACTCTGACACTTTATTGACTGTAACCGTCGCTAATGTGATGAACAGAAACTAATTTATTCCCCAGTCAACTGTCTCTTTCAAGTTAATATAATTCAGTTAGTTTTTTGTCAATGACACTTTTCAGAACCTCTTTTCTTTTTTTTTCCCCAGAAGAGACTGTCCAGTGGGAAGAAGAGAATGAAGATCATCCCAGGGTTTCTTTCAAAGAAAATACAGGAAGATTTGGAGGAACCAAATATGGTCATTAAGTCTACAGTCTGCCTATAAATGGTAGTGATATAGCTATTTCTCTAACACTATCTCTGAGGGTGCAACAGATCAAGAATCACTGAGAGCCTTTGTGTTAGTCACTTAGGTTGTGTCCAACACTTTGCAACTCATGGACTTGTAGCCCACCAGGCTCTCTGTCCATGGGATTCCCAAGGCAAAAATACTGGAGTGGGTAGCTATTCCCTTGTCCAGAGGACCTTCCTAACCCAGGGATAGAACCTGGTCTCCCTGACTGCAGGCAGATTCTTTACCATCTGAGCCACTAGACTTTAAATGGTAGCAAAACTGTTCTAGTGGCAAGGGTTTACCTGAAAAGTTTGATTTCTTTTTTCATCTAGAATATGGGTGGGGGGTTGCAACATTCTCTCCCAAAACATGCTCATTTGTTTGTTTATCCATTGAACTCTTCTTCTTTTATTGGAGCACAACTGCTTTACAATGTTGTGTTGGTTTTCTGCTGCACAACACAGTAAATCAGCTGTATGTACAACACATATACATATAACTCATGAAGCTCAATATCAGAAAAAAAAAAAAAACAAACAAACAACCCAATCAAAAAATGGGCACAAGACCTAAATAAACATTTCTCCAAAGAAGACATACACTTGGCCAATAGGCACAGGAAAAGATGCTCAACATCACTAACTATTAGAGAAATGCAGATCATTGAGCTCTTCTTGTTTAGTTACTAGAAATATTTCCTGCCAGTTACCTGACTTTCAGAATTTCTTGCAATGCAGAAGGCCAACTACCAGAAAAGTCTACTCCAGGGTGTTCTGAAACACAGGGTAACATCTCAGATATACTCCTGAACAAATTGAAACAAATAGGATGTGATACTTGGTTCTCTCTTTTTTTCTGGTACCTCTATAACAGATCAGTTGCCTTTGTCTCCAGATACGGGCAT